CCCGCCCGAATATCCTCAGGTAGCAGGCGCTGATGTACGGAGCCCACAGGACGAGGAAGGTCAGCGTGATCATGTAGAACATCTTCCCGAGGCGCTTCTCCATCTTAAACTCGTCCAGCACCAGCAGCCGCCTGTTCCCGGGGTGAGACGCCTGCCGGATGCCGACCAGCGTCGGTGGGGTGGGTCCGCGGCCAAAGCCGGCGATCCAGTTGGCGGCGGCCTGCCCGGTGGCTCCGGGGCCGTGGAAGGTCCAGTTCTGACTGATGGCCGGAACCAGCTGGGCCGGCTTCATTTTGCGGTGGTCGTACACGAAGCACAGCATCTTGACGTAAACCACATGAGTCGTGCCCACGATGACCGCCAGCATGAGCATGAAGCCCAGCGTGTCGTTCGCCTTCACGTAGCGGTGCTCGAAGATGCACTGCTCCTCCTCACGGATGAACTTGTAGGTGCCCACGTCGAACACCGGCGGGAACGCCATGGCCACGGAGAGGGTCCACACCATGCAGATCACCGCCACGCACGTACACAGGTTCATCCGCTTGGAGTAGAAGCGGTGGTGGGCGATCGCCATGTACCGGGTGACGCTGACGCAGAAGAGCAGGAAGGCGACGTGGAAGCAGAAGAGCACCGACATGAAGGCGACGATCTTGCAGCTGAGCGCGGTGTACGGCCACACGGAGCCGCCGCTGATCGAGGCCATCACGAAGGGGAAGCACACGGCGGAGCGGAGCACGTCCGCCAGGCACAGGTCCAGGAGGAAGTAGTAGGGAGCCTTGTGCAGGGAGCTGTCCTTCAGCAGCAGCAGCGACAGGGACGCGTTGCCCAGCAGGCTGATGGCCATGATCAGACCCAGGGAGGCCAGCTTGACCGCAGGGGCCGCGGACGCATAGTTCTGGAAGGACGGGCTGCTCTCCCCAAACTCACTTGTGTTTGCCATCTGTGCAGCCTGGGTGCTGTTGTGTATTCCCACATGCATTCATCCACCAGCGGTACTATCCTGCCAGGGCTGAATGGAAACACAACACGATCCAGAGAAACCAGTCAGGGGGAAAATCCTCTCAGACGCATCGGATCACATCAGTCTCGATGAGGTGCGCTCATCCCCTTTGAAAAGAAACAAACAAAATAAATCATTTAATGTTTCTTCTTCCTCTTCTTCCTGTCCTTCATCTCACAAGAGTCTGAAACCATCGCTGTGTGACGCTGCTCGCTCTGCAGGACGGGAGCAGCCTGGTCCAGGTTCACGCACCATCTCTGGAGCAGCAGACATGACAACACATCTCACTTTGCACCGATGGCGGAGCTGTGCCGTTCGTCTTGAGGAGCACCAACGCAGACAGTGAGGTGCGGGCGCATGGCGCAAATTACGCGCCGGCAGCCTCGGCGACGACGGCCACGCTCAGCCTCGGCTCCGGGCTGTGGAGCCCGCAGAGCCAAACGTTTGGTCGGAAGCTCGCTGAGGGTCTGTGGGGTGGATATCACATGGCACAGCAGCGTCTGCAGCCCAGGATGCGACGCACGTTCCCCTGCATGTAGAATGAGCAGGCCTGGGATCAGCCAGGGGGTGGGGGGTGGGGGGGGGGGCAGTCTGCTACAATTATAGGAAGTCTGTCTGTCTCCATGCACTGATCACATGCAAACACTTTAACACTGCACTGTATTTAATATAGGCCATTCTAAGATCATTATGAGACAAAAGAGTGAGACACAATCTTCTTCATATGTAATATGTATATCTTTATAGTACAAGGTTTGTATTACATATATGTTTTTGGTATTATTTGAATTGATTAAATTTTTTTAATTTAAAGTTTCTATTTTATTGCCAGCCCCAGCCTTGGATAAATTAAGTTTATCTTATCGTGTCTCATCTTAACTCATCTCATCTCACCACATTCAAGCTTCAAATATATTAACTGTCATTATACTCACGTACAATGAGTATATATATAATGTGAACATATAGAAAACATATACATATGTAAATACAAACATAAAAACAACAGTTATAGCAGCAATAACATTTGATGAACGTAAATAACTATACAGACAATAAAATTGGTATATTTAAAATAATGTTTTTGATCTTTATTATTGAAAGACAAACATTTTGGTACACACAGAAAACAGGATATAATAACTATCATACTACTATGTTAACACCTCTTCAGTGGAATTAGTGAATTAAAAGGCCTACAAAGACAAAAGGGAGTAAACATGATCAAATTAAAGTTAATATACCCTGCAGTTGGAACTCTAGGTGGTTATTATGCCTAAGATGAAGTGTGCTATGTGAAGATACATGTGAAGATGAATGAATGAATGATAATAATAAGGATTTCTTGCTCGCTCGTACTCGTGTGTGAGATGATTTCGTTGTTCTGATCTTACATTTTGAATTGAAACCTTGATCACACACTTTATGTTCATGTTGTTCATGATTGGACTCCAAAGGAAGTGGCTCTTTTTGTTAAGGCTGTTGTAAAATAAGATGACACACTTACAAACCGACCATAGCAAACAACTGATCGATAAAGCAATTTAAAAATATGATTAAGTCCTCAATAAGAAAAGGTTTCGCGATGAGTCGCTCAAACCTTATGCAGTAGTTTTTTTTTTTTACAAAAGGGGGAAATTGGATGTTGTATTGACGGATGCAACACTTTTACTCATCAGACGGTTGCAGCTCACTGATGTGAGACAACGACAGGAATGACACAGTTAGAGCTAACAGTGTGGGTTCAGCTGAGGTGACGGGTTGCATTATGCAGCAGGAGACTGTCTGCAGAGAGCAGACAGAGTGGTGTCTGAGACGGATCAGCAGAGGTTGGTCTGGAAGTTGGTCTGACAAAGACTGTAGATGAGGACCTTCACAGAAATGACAGTGGATTTGACAAGCAGGGAAAGAGGAGAGATTCACCGTTGTCTCAAAAACTAGACTAGAACACAACAACTCAGCATAAACAACATCCACTCTTAAATAATCCAGAGGATGTCATATCATTATGTTAAAGACCTCTTACTCTCAGCAGGACTTTAAATCACAGTTTCCATCATGTGACAAGGCTGCACCTTCTGCTGCTGCTGCAGTGGTTCACCAGCACCCCCTGGAGGCTGCTGCATGTAGCATCATGAGCACAGACAAAAACCTACAAAACTGTCTCAGAGACAAATATGGGCCTTTTGGGAGAATTGATATCCATATATGGGCCAGAATGACGCACGAACTGAGCCACTTATATAGTTCCAACTTTCCTTTCAAAGTGTGGTCTGGTTTTCATATATGACCCTGTGATCACCCTGTCAGCTGATCAAGACCAGAGCAATAATCAAAGATGAGCTGGAGGCTGAAACAGTGTTGATCCTAATGAAACCAGTGGATCATACAACTGTCACATGTAGGTACAAGTTGGTCCAGTGCAACATTGATGTTAGACACATGTTCTATGTATTTGGGGTTTTATGGTGTGACAGTGTTGATGTTTAAGAGTAGTAATGATGTGTTGATTGATTTTTCTATTCTATTGTTATAGCCTTGCTGATATATAGATTAAGATTTTTATTAGTAACCTTTGAAACCTTCTTGTTAATTCTAATATAGAAAAATAAACACAACACTATGGAATCTTCTAATTATAAGTTTAAGTCTGTGCATTGTAATGCCTATTAATACTTTTATAATTTTCATGCAGACAGAACTGCAGAAGGGGGATTTTCCAACTGTCTTGTGCTTGAGAAGTATGGAACAGCAACCAGAAGATAGTGTAATGAGAAGATGCCTCACTCTATGATCCATCCCCATTCAACATCTATAACCTACCAGAGGCCCTGGCTCCTGACTGGTTAGGCTGTTCTCTCGTGATGGGGGAAGAAGAGACAAAAGAAACTTGATTCAAATTCACTTCATACTTGTACTTTTCCAATCTGAGTGTCCTGTTCCCCTCCTCTCCCTCGTGGCTAACATCTCCACATGTCATTTCTCCTGCAGATTGTGTTCTAGCAGTACTGACCTTTCTCCTTCAACTACATTGAACAACAAAACACAAAAATGTACAAGAGATATTCACCACCTTGTCCTATATTCTTGTGGAGAACCAGATCAACTTTTACTGTATGAATACATTGCTGCACATTTTGGTGACAAGTGGCCTGTGGCAAATAAAGCGTCAAAAAAATGTGGACAAAAATTGGAAATAGTATGAAGGATAATGATGATGAAATGATGCTCTGACTCAGAATTAGTACTCAAATGTAAAATCTGAACTTGTTTGCAGCTCAGTGTATCAACACACACCACTAAACACAGAATGCTAGATAACCAACAACAGGCAACAAAACCTAAAAGAGCAGCTGTGAATTTCTGCATATAACTGACTTGGAAAACAAATATACAATATCTATATTAGGCATAGTGGATGTTTATTAACATTAGACAGACTATTCCCAGGGAAATAAAGACATGTGAGTGCTGCGGACAAATGAAGTGAAAAAGACAAACGTTTGAAATGGTTCCCATATTTAGTATTATACATACATTTTTTGTATGTATGTATGTATGTATGTGTATGTGTATGTATGTGTGTGTATGTAGGTATATATACATGTATATATACCTACATACAGGCAGTAGCCCAGTCCATAGTGACTTGGCTTGGGAACCGGAGGGTGGCCGGTTCAAGTCCAGCATGAACGGAAGTTGGAGAGGTGCCAGTTCACGACGTGGGCACTGCCGAGGTGCCCTTGAGCAAGGCACCGAACCCCCCAATTGCTCCCCAGTCGCCTTCATGGATGCCCACTGTTCCGTGTGTAGTCACTGTGTGGATTCTGTTCCATGTGTGCTCCGTTCACACAGATGGGTTAAATACAGAGGTCAAATTTCCCCATGTTTGCATGTTGCATCCTGTGTGTGGGACCATAAAGAGGAATCTTAATGTGTGTATATGTATGTATATATGTATGCATGTATATGTGTAAAACACATGATATCAGGTATTTTTCTGCCTCTTCAACATGTTGATGTTTATTTCCGGTTCAGTGATTTCTGCTCCCCCACATTCAGTCAGAGTGAGACCTCTGCTCCTCCTCTTCCTCTCTGTGGTCTGGACCAACCGCTGCGCCTCTCCACGGTGACGCCGTGACGTCATCGGTCGGCAGGCGGAAGAGCGGTGTGTTTGTGTTTGTGGGATAAAATCACACCGGCCGCGGAGCGTCTTCTCCAGCGGATCGTTCCCGGGGCCGTGGACACAGCCTCAGCTCGGTGCCTGCACTAATGGCGGTTCCTGGGGGGGAGGCGGGTGTTCACATGGACGGAGCGGAGCCGAGCGGACAGACGGTTTCCTCTCACAGCAACATAGACATCGACGAGGAAGAGTTGGAGAAAATCACAAAGAAACACCGAGAGGACGCGACGCTGCCGCTGCACTCACCCTGGACCTTCTGGCTGGACAGGTACGACCATTGTCCCCCAGCTCTGCGGGCTGTGCGAGCTCAGAGGCCGGGGGCAGCTGCAGGGGAGCGGGGGACACGTTAGCTCACAACAGGCCTCCTGGAGCTAATGTAGCGGGACACTGTGCGTTTAACAGCCTCCTGTTTATTGCTGAGGCTGACACAGCAGGAAAGTTATTGCACTGTGGTTATACAAGGATGTGTCAGCTGGGTCACAGAGAGGGAGATGTTGACCAGGTCAACACTCAGGTGTTCAGCCACGTGAAGTCTCAGCAGGGGAGTTATTCCAGTTTGGAGAGAGTCAGCCTCTCGTCCTGGACCTGATCACTGACATGTAAACACTGGGTGTTGCGTCTGCCTCCTCTTCTCTTCTGTGAGCTCTCAGGATCCATTTGTTTAATATGTACAACCAGTTATTTAAGTGATTATCCAAGTCAACAGTGCCACTGATAATAAATCCGATCTAGGTGTATTGAACACTAGTCTAGCACTAGGACATTTGCCACTGGTGTTTTTTATGTAGGAATTATGAACATTTAAAAGTGCATGTTAACTTACTTACCTTGTGCACCACATAATCAATATAAATATGATATAATATAACACCAATTAAAACACAGCAAATTTCAGGACATTCATAAAACAATATGCAATAATAGGCTAATATTGTATGTATGAATTCAACAATATTTAAAACAATACTTCATGCAGGGCATAGTTACACAGAGTAAACAAATCAAAACATGTGGACTGAGGTGGGATTTGAAGGTGAGGAGTAAGTCAGTGTCAGGGAAGGACAAGTAGAAAAACCGTTGCAAATAAACCCTTTAATGGTCTGGGTATTTGAGATTTATTCTGAATGGGTAATCAGTCTTTAGTCTATGCTCTGTATATGTGTGTTAGCAGTACACTTGTGTCCTCTGTATCGCCTGTTGGCTGAATAAGTCTTCTCTTGTCATTCTAGGTCATTGCCGGGCACGACGGCTGCAGAATGTGAATCCAACCTGAAGAAGATCTACACAGTACAAACTGTTCAGGTGAGATGTGGCGTCGGCTTACAGAGCTTGATCATCAGAGGAGCAAACAGAGCAAGTGCATGACTCGGCAAAGTGTCAGACTCACCTGAGGGATTAATGTGAGGAGGAATAAGCAGTTCTTTGTTAGTTCAAGCTACAGTCAACACAAATGGTGGAAAGGTCAAACCATTTAATCATCACATCATGGAACACTGAGATATTTCATCAGTGTTTTCTAGTGACTGCTGAGTCACAAATCTGTGTGTTACAGTGCATATATTACTGCTTATTGACCGGATGCTCTGATGGCTGCAGGAAATGTTAAGAGAAAGTTGTTCCCTTGGGTTTAATGAAGACTTTCAGTTTGCAAACTAAAGTAAACTGAGCAGAAGATGTGTCCCATCTAATTCCAAAACAAAAGTAGTGAAACCTGCTATGTGTAAATTAACCAACAGATGTTTTAATAGAAGGATGAAGATAAAACAGCATTTGTGATGGAGCTCTGAATAGCTCTGACAAGTTTGTGTTAAATTTAAAATGTGCTGTTTAGTGTCTTACAATTCAAAAAAGACAGAAAGCAATTTTTGTTTTGTGTTTTAAAAAATATTCTAGAGACTGATGTGTCATTATTAAATTACTTTAACTGCCAAATATCTGTATCAGCATCAGTTGGCTTTATGTGTTCGTTCTTGTGTTTACAGATGTTCTGGAGTGTATACAACAACATCCCTTCGGTCACAGCCCTGCCTTTGAGATGTAGCTATCACTTAATGCGCGGCGAACGGAGGCCACTGTGGTGAGATTGTTATTATTGTAATATTATTAGAATATTATGTTTCCTTTTACTGGAATGAAATAACTGGAGATAGACTCTGTGTCTGCTCCACATGCTGTTTCAGGGCAGTAATGGTTGGAAGAGGGAGCTTGTTTCTTTTGTGAGCTCCTCAGGAGGCGTGAGGAGGCTCAACATGTTATCAGTTAGCCCCCTAATGATGCGTGTTGAGTGTGGCTGGCAGCTCATGTTCTGTGGTGTATGACTTTGTCTGTGCAGCATACAGAAGGCGCAATTCCTTTTGTTGAAGCATCTTTTTGTGATTGTTTCTTTGGCTGAGCCAACTGTACCTGGAGGCCGTGAAGTCCCCAGCAACAAGTGCTTCAAATGTCTAGTAGTTAGTAGTAATACCGTTTGGTGAGTGATGCTTTGTTGGGACAGCAGAGCCTCAGTACTGTTGCCATCATGTGGTGCTTCGGTCATGTTTTTAGTGTCCCCCCTTGCAAAACCTCTGTGTCTCAACACTGCAACATTGGCTGTAGCGGGAGACCCTGATATCACAAAGTCCAAGAAGAATCGCCTTCTTGGTTCATCAAAAACTTGGGCTCAGTCGATGTATTACATTTCTGGAATCTGTATCATGGACCACAGAAACTGGTTGTTTATCAAGTCGCATGAATTATGCCTATAATGATTTGGGTCTTTTCATTGCTGAGGATCAACAGCTTCTGATTTGTGGCTGAGTCTGAACTCTTCTCTTACTCCTTTTAGCTGCATGCCTTTGCTAGCATCGTGGACATGGGCATGTTTAGCAGAGGGATGACCTTCTGATGAAGTTAGATTTGTTTTGCAGGAGGCTTGAGAGACCCTCAGCTGCATGTTGTCCCCACTTTCTCCCCCTATTTCACGCTTTAACTCTGTCCTTTCAAAAAAAGGCTCAATGAGATCTTTTAAAAAGCTTTTCTGAAAGTTTACATAGTTGCCAGTGCTTAGTTTGTTCTTAGAGGTATTACAAATTGGGAGCAAGGTCATGTTGTGTGTGTGTGTGTCCTTGCCACTACTAGCACAACATGAACTATCGTGCGGCACATGCGTGTAAATTTCCCCGGCACAGACTGGGATTATCTGAGAATGAACAGTCGGCTGATCTAAGTATCACTGCAGTGTTTAAAGTAAGATCCGTAATGTAAAGCTGATCTGTTTCTTTCTTCTTCTTTTTTTCTACCAGGGAAGAAGAAAGCAATGCAAAAGGAGGAGTATGGAAGATGAAAATACCAAAAGAAAGCACTGTAGGTGCTTAACACTTACTGTAAAATGACATTATATATGACTGAGTGTTTCATTTAGTCTTGCTTCTTGTTTCAGTCGGCAGTTTGGAAAGAACTGCTACTTGCAACTATTGGGGAGCAGTTTGCAGATTACTGTGCCTCAGGTACACTCCTTTGCTTTTCTAAATATAGCTTTTGTGTTAATGTAATATTTATCTGCTGTTAACATTGCTGCCTTTTGTCCTCCTCGTGTTTCACAGATGATGAGGTTGTTGGTGTCAGTGTCAGTGTGCGAGATCGGGAAGATGTCGTACAAGTCTGGAATAAAGATGCGTGTCTTGCAAACGAAGCAAATATCTTGGGAAAAGTCCACGAACTCCTCCCGAACACATCTTTTAAAGCTGTCTTTTATAAGTGTAAGTATGCACGTCTCTTTCACTTTTATTTACTCTACCTGTGGATTCAGAAATGGAAATGAGTTTAAGCTTTGCAGATGCCTTGTCAGAAGCCATCGACTGTCATGATATACGTGTGTAGCCAAACATTCCACTATGCCCAATGAAAAGAGATCGTTTCAACCAGAGCATGTAAGAATTTCAGAGCAGGATTTACAGCGGGGGTGGGGAACCTCTGGGCCTGTGAGACTATCCGATCTGGCACATAATAAAATTTATTTTATGTAAATTTATACAGAAAGTTCTAATGAAGCAAATCATTTATTCCTGTTAAAGAAAAAAAAATGACACAAAACAATATGCTAACATTTCCTCAAGGGGGCTCCCTTCTGGCTGTGTCCCTGTCAGGTCACACTGAAGGTGGATGAATAACGCACATAGCTGTTACTTGTCATGGCTCATGGCGACTGTCAGGAAAATAAAACTAGATGTGAAATGTCGCACTTTTCCGAGAGAAAATGTTTTTTTAGTAAAAGAGAAGCCAGTGTGCCTAGTTTGTGGGGACACAGTGATGAAATAGGACAATCTCACGTCATTACAGACCGTGTTACATAGGAACGTTTTGTGGTGAGCGAGCAAATAGCTAAGAAGCTAAAAACAACTTGCATTATGGGCAAATACTGTATTTTCCTACTCTGCATGAAGCCTGAACGTGCTGGTGAGTTTGAAAAGCTCCTTCAGACATTTGGAGAGGGATCAGGACATGAAAAATAAACAAAAGGAACTGAGAATATTTGTTTTAATGCGGAACCAGCCTGACAACCAACAACACAAATAATTCAACTGCAAAGCAACTCGAAATGCTGAGGAGTTTTAGAAAAGGTGCACAGGAGTTGACATCTTTGTTTGGAATGACCTGCTGCTGTTAGCAGCTCGTTTCAAAAAGAACGAGGACCCTTTATCACTGGTCAGAAAACCCTCTAACATCTGGCATTGGTCCACAATGTGAAAAGATACACACAGCATTTACTCCTGAGTCAAATGACTCTGCAGTAGACGCAGATTTTAACCGTCTCTGATCGGCACTTATGGAAGCAACACCCGAATCAACTAATTCGGCCCGGCAGCAAAGTGAAAGAGTTACTCAGTTTCAGTACATTCGTGACGTCAAACATTACCAGAGAATAAAAATAAAGGCAAACTCCTCAACTGGCAATGGGAAAGAGTTCAATTGCCTTTTAGCGAGTTTACCTGCGTTTAAAGACACCTGTGTGTTCCTTCCAACTTTGGAGTAAAAGAGGTATGAGTGACCCAAACATGAAAAACCCGTCTTGCCATAGAGAGGCAGTTGTTGGATGAAGTGGCCCTTGACAGGAAAAAAGGTTCCCAACCCCTTATTTGAAGAGTTTACATGGCTGTAGGCCAATCAGGGCTTACTATTGTTGAAGAAAGGGCAGCAAGACAAACGTCATAATACTCCTTCATACCTGCTTCACAAATCACTGTCAAACAGGTTTGTCCTGTCACTGCCTGTTCAATATATGGTGCCAAAATAATACAAACTTTAACATGTAACTCTGTGTTGAGCATAAGGAATACACAGGGTTATCTTGAACTTTGCACCAGCCTCAGATTGTGTTTCCAACTTCCAATCCACAAATTGTATCTGGTATATTCCACTCATAATTCTGCATACATTACTTTTCATAACACTTTCTGTGGCTCAGGTCAGAAATGTGTCCTGCATGTAAAATGATCTTTATTTATGCTGAACACATCAACGGTTTCACCATGAATCCCTCTGTCTTTTTCAGCTCACATGGAACATCATGCCTTTGAGGGAGGACGCTCAAGACGTTAGTGTGTCGCACTTTTTATTGTTTTTAAGCCTGAACTCTGTAACACTCATAAAGGCTCTGCCCACGACCTAATCTAGGATATTATTTTGCATTCAACAAGCAAATGTGATCAATATATTTTTATAACTTTTAACGACTGATGCCTTGTTTAATTTTCATGTGGGTCCTGAAGCTCTGAGCTCTTCAGTCAATGTGTAAATCTCCCCCAGAGGTCATTAGTTCGTGTTGGTTTTGACTCCCTCCTATACTGACCTGCACTGCCATGGTCCTGCTCTCTGCACAGGCTATGGACCTCACAACTAGGATCTGTTATAGAGGTAGCAGCTACATACCCTGGTATGTTTTTAACTGTTCGGTATATCTCATCGTATTCAGTGCCAAAGCATTTTTTAGTGTCCCCAGCTGGAGTGTTCCACTTCTGAGGATTGCGTGATTGTCCCATACAGTTTTGTGAATCTTCAACAATTACGTCAAATTTAAATCAGGGTAAGAATGAATGCGAACGACTACCTATCCCAATCACAGTGTCCCTCAGTTACAAAGTCGTCACTTGGAATCAGAACATTTTCCAGCACAGATATGGCCCTGAGAAACTTAACTCTGCTTTCTTAAGAATTTTATTTCACAGCTTTAGTTAAAGGGCAGAATCCATCGTGAAAGGTGCCTCTTTGAATGTTCCCAGCCACATCACGTCTGACATTTCTCTGAATACACGTGTTGAAAGCAGACCCTCTGCTCTCCATAATGGAGTCAAGCATCGTTTGATGTATTACTCTCAAGAGATACACATTTTTGCACATTTCGTTTTTTGCTCAAATGGTGCATCTTTTAGTACTTGTTGACACTTGTTTTCAAATCAAGTGTGCTTTTTAGTCTATTTTCTTGCATCCGTAGATCACAGAGGAAAAGCAGCATTATTATGTTTGTAAAGGAAGCGGCACTGATTCATGATATTCCCTTATATTAGACTATATGTCGATGTAATATGTTAAATTTTGTCAGAAAAAGAGTTTTGGCAATGGTCATTAAGTCAGAGCGGCATGTTTCTTTAGAGTAAAGTATGTAACACTGACCTCACATGATTGATCACGTCTTTTCTGATAAATATCAACTTTAACATAGAAAGTGCAAACGTGTATTTTTCACATATTTTTCCAGATCTCTTTGCAAATCTTTTTCTGAGACTTCCTCCCCCAGTCTGAGTCACCTTCACTAACACAGTTGACACAAAGTTACTATAACTTTATTACAGCGGAGGCTCCAGTAAACTGTAAGCCTCTGTTGTTATTGTACATCACACAACTTTTATAGTTAAACTTTGGACTAGTTGATGAGTTGGTTATAATGGGACGACATTTCCTTTGTAAACAGGATTTTTGTAGAGACGAGGACAAAGTGAATAAAATGTAAATTAAAAGAAAAGTTCTTATCTGTGTTTTTTCTGTTAAAGACCAGTGTTTCCATTCTGGAATGAAGGGTATGTGGTAATACCTCAGTGCTTCAACATCTTTCACTTATGCCAAAGCCAGTTTTTGTACAGATTAGTTCCAGTCTCACATCACACCCTTTGTGCTGCATCTGTGTATTTATTGTGTAAGGTAAGAAAGGCAAAATTTAATGGTCAGGTAGCAATGGCTCTTAAGATTTAAGATGTGTTCTTATGTTTTCATCAGCATTTGTTTGTCTGTTGGTTAGCAGCATTACACAAAAGCTACAGTACAGATGACCACAATACTTGTATGGCTCAGGAAGAACACCAGATTTTGGTGCCGATTTTGACATTTTCACCAATTTTCCAGGGGATAGTTAATGGATATAGATGAAAAATCAGGCCTATGTAGGGGAATGATATCTGTGAGTGTGTACAATTTGTTTTATCTTGATTGAATTTAAGGGGAGTGTTGGACCTTAGCAGAGTTTTGCCACTCTAGCTTAAAACTGAATTTCCAGACTTTCTCTCAAACTCACAAAGTTTTGATTTACGGTGGATTCTCTCACACTGTTAATAGGTCTCTTTCTTACTGCAGACACTTTGACATGTAGGAGGAAAAACACAACAGATAACACCAGAGGGGACTCAGAGAGGGCATACCCCCACTGAGGCTAACACTGTATCGCTTCGTTTTAAAGAACCGTAAAAACCTGGATACACTTGTGTGGAACTGCAGTTGTTGTTTTGTGTGATCCTACAAACAAACAAATAACCAACAGACAAACAGTAATGCAAATATTACCTGAAAATAAGAGTAAATGCCAAGCATGAGCTACCATGGACATTGTCACCACGAAGCGGAAAGTGTAAACATCGGACGCAAAACACAAAAAAAAGTTAGGAATAAAATATTGAACATGATTTAATCTTTGTCATGTTGCTATCAGACGGGATAACAACAAAGTAGAGCAAGGTGCTTCATTAGTGTTCAAACAGAAATACAGTACCCTTCAGAACATACCTCCACGGTTTCTTGAAGGTTTGATTAAAAAGTTCCTCTGTTTGGCACCAGAGAGCCTCCACATCCACAGTTTCACATGTCTCATTTTAGAGAGTTAGACTGAAGACTTGACGGCCCCTGGTTCAATTCTGACACTCGCAGCTTTGATATTTAGGGTAATTCATGAATAACCATTTGGGACCTTTCACTGTTGAGTTTCATACACATGTTCATGCTGTATGTGTGACTGTGGTAAATAAACAGAGCTCTACTGTACCCTTTGTCCAGACTGTATCTGAACAAATTCATGCTCATCACCCAAATCCACCAAGTGTGTAGAACTTCCTGCTCCTCCTTTTAGGTGCTTGTGGGTTTAAATAAGGTACACAAATTAAATCAGTTCTCTTGATATGACTCTTCGTTTTATCGTTTGATCTTTACATTAAATTAAGTAAAATAATAATCAGGCAAATAAAGTTAGACCAATAAAGCCAATACAATAATTACTAC